ATTATTTGCAGCAATCAAATTTTAATCTTGTATTTTAGACATAAGGAAAGATATTAAGAAGTTTCCATTGATAAATTTGCCATTGATATGCACAAGGAGTTAAATAAATGTCACAAGACGGGGGAACCCGCTAGAGGCTAAAGAGTATATGGGGGTCCCAAGCATTGCGCTGTTTGGGAATTCCTGATCAAAAACAATAAGGCATAGTGAATTGGGCCTTTACAATCCTTGGAATGTACTGAATCATCTGGCTCATATTTGGAATAATCACTACAGGTCATCTATTTAGGAAACAGGCCAAATCGACTCTGGTTGTCTGAAATTAAATTTGATGAATGAGAAGCTTTCCCTCTAAAATTGTAAAGCCATGTCAGTCAAATTTAGTAATCAATAAGTAATCAATGATGAAATGCATTAAAAATATCTTGACTTGAATTGTTGGACCAAAAGGATCATTGGATATTGACAAAATGACCAACTGGGAAAGAGGAAGTGGCTTAAATGTCATGACTGATCAATAGAATATTTCTGTTTTAAAAGCTATCACTAATGTCAGTACAAGTTGAGGATCAATAGATGGAAGCTAGAGGAACACAGCATCCTCTCCTCAGAGATCCTCCTCATCTTAGATCTTTACACAGGATTTATTAATATCTTAGCACCAGACCTCAGTCGCATAGTAATGCTCTCCCTGGGGTATTGAAGCAAAAACGAAGTACAACATCTGCACTCTGAATCTTCCCTGCCATGCAACGCGTGGGTCTCTGTGGAGCCTTCAGAGTTCAGACAGGAGACACCGAGGGGACAGCGTCGGCTGGCTGGCCACTGTCCTCCCACACAGCGCCTCGTCAGTATTCAACATCAGCCACTTTTACTTAATGAAGACCGAAGGAGAACAGGGCCGAGAGTGAACCGAGCCACCTCAATTAAAACTTCAAACAGGCCCTGCACGAGCATGACGACAGGCTGAATATTTGATAGAGGGCAGCTCCATCTTCTCTGATAATTTATGTCCCCTTTTCATGCTGACGGTCAAAGAATGTTGTCACAGAGATGGCAGATTCAGGCGGTTGTATCACTATGGAGCAAATCCTAAAACCTGTAATTTTTATAATGTATGCCTGTAAATCTTGCTTAAGAACACATTTATTCATTAAAAAAAATCCTTTCAAAATATCCTATTTTGTGGACTCTTGTAAAACTCCCTTGTTTAAACCTGGATTGGTGCGAGGACAGCCAGGTTATAGCCCCTTTTTCAAGAATCATCGTAAAGAATACTTATGTTGGGGGCCCAGACGGATATATTTGGATAAGAAATCCAAGACGAGAAATCCTCCTTTCTCTGTCCGCTGATCAAGCCGGGTCAGATAGCAAAATAGCATTCCTTGAGCTGGTGGGCTTTATGCGTCCTGCTCAAGGACATTTCAGCAGAGGGGCAAAGCTTAAAACTTAGTCCCCTTCAAGAACCACTTAACCCACAATTTGTATTTATTGATATTGTTTATGTATTCAGTTTCCCAACCTTCAGAAAGGGACGGGTGAATGCTGGTGAACTTAAACAAGGTGAATGGAGTATTAGTGTGACCTGTTGATTGTGCCCCATTTTTTGTCAATCAAAGACACAATGGTAAACTCCTGCACACTGTCTAACTTGCAAACAAACCTTTATTGGCAAAATGTTAATACTAGATCTTCATACAGGCAAACAGTGCCTGTATGAATAGTTAATGTCTAGATACTTTATTGTTACATACTGTTTGTGTTTTCTTTTTCTTGTAACCCATCTTGTTCCACTATATGAAGGCTGATTTATGCACACTTGATTTATGCATCTCACTGACAGCTTCTTCAGCTCCCCATCTTAACCTGTTGCTCAGTTGACTAGTTGTACATTTCATCAGTTACAAGGTTAAACGTAATCACCTTTGCTATAGTCTACACCAGAATTACTAGTTGGTAAACGTATTGTTAATGGTTTTATAGGTATGCTTTCCTTGTCGAGGCTGTAAACTGGCTGAAGCTACACTTTTAGTTCACCAATCAGAAACATCCAACACTGCAAAGCACACCCAAATGTCCCTGTACTTTCTGTAGATGTCAATGAAAGATGAAAATGAGCTTGACTTGACTACAAAATAGCATTTTGATTAAAGCCTTGGCTTATTTTTTTCCACACAAAATTTCCACTTAAACCACGAGGTTAGTTTAGTAATAGTCATTTCTTATGTGTTGACCACCAAAGTTGGGCTCCAAAACTCTATACTTCAGAAATGTAAAATTGACGTCAGTAAGACGACTTGCATGTTTTTGGTCACAACTGAGTAAAATCAGAACACATTATGAGACATTCCCAAGAGTTTTTTTTTTTTTTAGAGGAAGCTACCTCAAGCTGCCATTGTGTTCTGATGACACATTAAGTTGGTTCGCTGTGTCACGACCCGGCTCTTAAGGCGTGACAAAAACAAACGGTTATAACTAAGTGGTGTAAAGTTTATTACAAAGTACCCCCAAAAAATAACCAATTTACAAAGAGGATGAGGTGTGTTTGTAATTCAACCAGTGTGTCAACTGTGGTGTGTGCGGCATATTGTCAAACTAAACTAACATAATCAGACTACAACAAATCATGGTGCAATTAAGGAGAAGGTGTGATGCTTGGAGTGGATGAGAGAGAATGAGAGGTTGACTGCCCAATCTTCAATAGCCTACACCTGGGAGACTGGCCAGGTCTGCCCAGGTGTGGCGGACCACCGCCCACCAGCGACAGAAGGGCAAAAACCCAATAGCAGGCCCTGCAGGCGGGATGGCTGAGAAAAGGCTACACCTTTAGTCCACCAATTGGAAACATGATCTAGAAAGAAACCCAGAAAGTCCCTGTACTTTTGGAAAGTATTGCCACCAGAGAAGGAAAGTCTAGTCACTATATTTAAACCTTGGTTCCCCACAGTGGAAACACATTTACATTTGAACATTTAACATGGCTTTATGTCAGTCTCCATCTTTATGAAGTGTTGCTATATCTGCTTGGAAATCTTTGAGAAACTCCAGATTATAGCTTGTAATCATGTCCATATTATGTATCATGTACAATCCAAACATTTCCTGTAATAGTTGCCAATTTGCCGTAATGTAGGTTTTTAAAGGGGTATTAAGTTTGAGCCAACAATGTAAATTAACTGAATCAATGGAAACATTAAACATGGGCATTATACTGCACCTCATTACAAGTAATGTGAGTGGACTTTTGTGCAAATGAGGAAAAAACAGTTGCCAGACTTTGTCCTCCATTATTTAGCAGGCACCTCTTTACTATCTTTATTTATTTACAGTTTGTAATCATTTATTTCCATTTTTGGCGACCTTAAGCTCCCTGTTTATTAACTACATCGATGTGGGCCCACAGCCAAAGTGAAATCCTGCTGAGGCATCTCCACCGCCTCAATAAGTTTCCAAAACAATAATTGCTTTTACACAACAGAGGGAGATTCTGTGTGGACTCTGGGAGCACAAGGATTCTTTCCCAGACGACGCTCCTCTCCACAGTAACTGTCTTTTCTCTGCTGGCTGCTTGCCTAATTAAAGGTCAGTTAGCTAGCTGGGTGCCAAAGCAACATAAACACATTAAAGGGAAATGCCACTCAATAACGCAGAGCAGCGGCGGTTTCTGAACATTGAGTTCTGTGTCCCCACGCTCGGAACACCAATAGGACTCTACAGGCAGGGCTTGTGAAAGATAATGAGCTCGCAGTGCTTTGACTGCTCCGTGCCTCTCGGCTGTCACAGTAGTTTAAAAGGGACATAATGAGTCTTTTGGGGCAAAGTGAAAGTAGTTGTTGTTTTGAGTTCAGGTTGTGTTTTGATGCGATGTCTGCTTCTTACTGAAAAGACAGGAATACAAACTCTAAAAACTAAAAGAGTATCACATCAAAAAGTGAAAAGGTTTTGTCTGAACAAAATGCTTCTTTTTTTTTTACAGTACAAAAATATATTTTGAAATACATACTTAGTGTGTCATAATAAGAAATATTTTTGTAATAAAAACCCAGGATTGATCTTTTTTAACACAAAATTGATTACGTTGAATTTTGAAACATGAAACAATACATATACTTATTTGTAAGCTTTAAACATTCTGTGTCCAATTACCTTTTTTTCTGATGAATTTTTGATTATTGATGTTCAGGCAGCATATACATTTATATATCACATGTGTGAGGAATCATCATTATGAATTTATCAACCATGTTGTTAAGAGGCAAAACATAATCTGGATTTCTGTCATCAGTTATCATGTGGGTATATTTATGTAAAGCTGCACATTGGCAATCCCTCCCTACTTCCTGTTTCCCGTGGCAACCAAACCCCCCTCCCCCCTCCCCCGCAAGATCTCTAACTATAAACACAAGTTCAGGAAAATATGCTACAATTCAACTAACTTAGTTGGCAAGTCAAATGTCCAACCACACAAAACTCAAACATGCACCATTGACCCCCTAAGGCCGCCCATAAGGGATCCCTCTTTAGGGGAAAGCTTTCTGGGGACCAGTCACATGGAGATACGTTGATTTAAATCATATTCTGGAAGGGCCCGTTGCCTGGGCCTTTCAGGGGCCCAGACATTTCTGCCTGCCTTATTTTATTTTAATTATTAATAATGATTATATAGAATTATGATAAAATAAAGACTTTATGTTCTATTCTATTCTATTCTAGTACCACATGTTCATTCAACTGTGCATTGCTCTTGTACATCTGCTGGTTCTACAGCATTGTTGAGGCCCATTTAATTAACATTACTAATTTATACTATCATTGCATTTTAATAGACTAATTGTAGTATACAGTCTCCACATTGTAATAATTAACAATGTGCTATAACGGATATTATAGGTTGATGCACATGTTTTAGATGTGCTTCCTCCTCATCTCTTTTGAAGGTTCAGTATATATTTATCCATGGTTCTGTTCATGAAGTGACAGAAGGCTCTCTCTTTTCACAGTGAGCATGACGTGGGTGAGGATGACATCTACGACTGTGTGCCGTGTGAGGACGATGGCGATGACATCTATGAGGACATCATTAAGGTGGAAGTACGACAACCCATGGTAAGAATTTAGTGTCACAGTTGATTTCCGTGTCTTTGTTTGGCTTTAGTTATTGATAGTGGTTTGTCTGGAGTGTTGGTTATACTGTAAATCTGATGCCATTTTAAGGTTACATGACTTACAGTAAGTATTACATTTTCTAGTAACATAGACTTTTATTTGGATGTAATCCATTTTCTGTAAGGATTTCTCTGTAAGTTCAAAACATATAGTGACACAATCACACCCTCTCCCACTTCCCTTTTTACATCTATATGATATGCATTTGAATGGCTTCCTTTCCCTTAACACACTTTTTGTATTTCTTGCATAACGTTTGGTAAATTTGACTTCTGACTTGCACTGCTTTGCCTTTTCCGTGCTGCAGATCAGATACATGCAGGTGAGTGCTCATGTGCTTGTGACTCATCCCCACCCTGTCGGCTAACTCCCTTCAACACTTCATTTAAATCAAAGTCCCAAGAGAACGCCATGCCAATTACAACACTGAGCTGAGCCAATCGAGAGAAAAAAAAAAAGGGGGATCCCATCTGGTTCAAAGTCTGAATCAGGGCCCATTGGAGACCGTTGTGACTTCAGCTTGGTGACTTCAGCTTGGTGACTACAGCGTTAACTGACATCACCGATGAACACAGCTGCCATATTAAACCTGAAAGAACAAGACAATAGCCGTTATCCTGCTGGCTTTGAGTCCTGCTTCTGATTGGTTGATTACATGTTGGATTGAGGCCTGGACTGGACATGCGTTTGTACATAGTTAGTCCAAACTTTTTGTTGTCATTGCTTATTTTGAAACAGCCAAAACTGTCCTAGATGGTAATTCACCAGCTGGGCTACTCATTTCACAGCTAAAGCATCAAAAACCTTTACAGAGTTGAAACCTATAGCTTTCTAGGATTTAAACATGCTGTTTTGAGCAGTCAGTGCATTGTTCTTTCAAAGAAAATCATGCCATGTTAGTACATGTAGACTGACCCAGACGTCTTGTCTCATGAGAAATGTTTTATGCAGATATGTTTGTGTCTTTCCCCATCATCTTCCACCCCCTCACAACACCCCTGCTTGCATGGACATAGACTGAAAACCTTGAAGCGTCTAAATTTACATAAATATTCCTTGTTCCTCTGGCTAGTCCACCCACACAGAGTTACAAGCTCGTAGAGTCCAACCTGAAGGACAGTGCTGTAGCTCCTGTAGTTTTTTGACACTGTAAAATAGACTCTTGAAGGCTGTTTGAGTCGTGTCGTCCATCATTGTTAACATCGAATCTGCAGACATGTTTGTCAGTGGTTCCTTATGGTTGCATGGTAATTCAGTTTAAGTGTAGAGTTGATTGAGGAAGACTGCACTTCATTATCTTACAGAGATAATGCAATTTGATGGATCCATTGTCAGGACTGTGCTTACAGGTTTTGCGCTGTTTGGAAATTAAAAGAAACCAAAAACCCAAATTGCAAATTGTTTTTGCATTTTGGCACATTCACCCTTAAACTAGAAATCATCACTATAGAGACTACAATAAAATAATGCAACTGTCTAATATGTCGTAAATGAAGAGAAAATCTAGACGTGTCAGAAGTCAGTGAATACATTTGACACATTTTAAAAATGAATTCAACCAATCACCTTTGACGCTAGGCATTTTTTTAAGGTGAATTTGGGGGATTTATATGCCGTTATTTAGAGACATGACAGGTGATGGAGTCTGATATTGAGGAGGAGAGAAAGAGTAGGGAAGAAGATGCGGCGAAAGGAGCCACAGGCTGGATTCTAACCTGGGCTACCCGATAGGAGTATTCCAGTCTTCGCTACCGTTGCCCCTGTAACAGTCGACAAAAAAATGTTCAAAATACTAAAGTAACCCTGGGTATTTTGAAAGTGCAAAGCTCTGTCTGAAGAAAAAAAATGTTTTGGTCCCTTTCAATCCCCAGTTATGCTTTCTTATCAAATCTGTAGCTAGAACATGGGACACTGGCTTGAACTAGAAATCATCACTAAAGAACAACAAACATAATCTCCATAGTCTCACTTATAACAGTAACCAATTATAACAGAAACAAGGCAAATGTGTTGTCAATTAAATGACAAGCCTAACAATCATACAATGTGATGTTCTGTAATAACATCTGTCCGATTTTCTCCGTAGAAAATGGGTATGACTGAAGATGATAAGAGAAATTGCTGCTTAGTGGAGATCCAGGAGACTGAAGCAAAGTACTACAAGACATTGGAGGACATTGAGAAGGTGAGTGTGAGAATGTGTCAGTGCACATCCATTTGAACGGGCTCATATATGTGTATTTATATATCCTGGAAGTAGCGGTGCAGCATGTTGGAGTATCCTTTTGTCCTGCTGTCTTCTTTGTGTTCCGGGGCCTGTGGGTCGGGTCGCAGCATGGAAATGTCAGCTATTGGCTGATTCATTGGGGGGCACAAATGTCAGGGGCAGATCAATTTGGTTATTATTAGCTCAGCCCCCACAGGAGACTATGACCCCTGGGGATTTAAGTATAGACCTGCACATCACAGGTTCAGGGACATATACCTGAACGTATACAGTGCTGCACACACGGGCAACAAGTGTTGGAGATTTTATCCTTAAAAAAGGAAATCCTTGCTTGTTACTTCCAAGGTTTTTCCATTAGAGAAATGCAGATTTTGTGTGCTTCAAGAGTCATAATCTCTGTCTCTCTCTCTCTCTGTCTGTCTCTCTCTCACACACACACACACACACACACACACACACACACACACACCGTCTCTCTCACTGTGAAAATGAACCTCAGCTGAGATCAGCGCGGCTAACACATCACTTTTCTCTCTCTGACATTGCGATGTGATAGAGGCCCCACAAATCATCAGCCTCTCTAATTTCATTAAACCAAATGTGTATCCTGTGTTTTCCGCGTCGGGGGCCAACACGGGACTAAATGGGAATAAATAACCTTCTTATGATCAGAGGACTCGTTAAGCTTAATTGAGTTGGGGTTAATAAAGCCTGTCATCTCTTCATTGCTTCTTAGTTGATGTATTTGTTATATTTACGATGATGGAATGTGACAACCATAAAACAATTTTATTGAAACAATAAGCAGGTTTTCCTCTCTTAGAGTTCAAGCAGGCTGCAGCATAGACAAGCGTTGTGCATATGCATTCATAGCAGGTGCTGTAATAACCTTACATGTTTGTGCACAACAATATGGCTGCTGTTTTTCCACAGTGTAGCTAAATATCAGAAAATTCTTGCAGATCTTTTGCTCAATACAGCAAAAGCATTAGTTTTCCATATTATATATATATATATATATATATATATATATATTTTTTTTTTTTTTTTTCTTTTAAACAAATGTGTCTCTTATTTCTCTTTAGAATTACATGATCCCATTGAAGCAAGTCTTGAGTCCACAGGACATGGAGGCTATCTTTGTCAATCTGGAGGTGAGTATCAGCTCAAGCAGAGAAAATGATGAATATACAGCACGCCTGGGTGTGCCGCACACCGTGTGAATAATTCAATATGTGTATGGATGGCTGAATGAATGACAGGATGTGTAACATTTGTGTAAGTTAGCCGTGTGACGCTATTGGAAAAATTCACGGTTCGGTTTACACGTGTTAGGCTTCAGTGTTTTCATCACAGTGGGGAAAACAAAATGTTATTTCCTTTCAATCTTTTGAGAAGAGTTGGCTGCAAAACTTGGTCAATAATACAATCACAACAAACCGTACAGCATCTTGGTATCAGACCTTTTTCTAAACTCTGAACACATTGAAGAACATACAACAAGAACAACTCCAGCTATTTGTCCCAGCTAATTCACTACTTGCCAAGAGTTTCTGTAATATACTAATTAACAAAAGCACATTTAGGCTGTAGAACGACACCAAATTAAGGATCTAAAAAACACATATCAAATGGTCTTTTATCTTGTTTTTTCACTCCTGACTTCTGACATACATATGACAGACATTCCACATCTGGTGGGCAAAAAAAAACGTATCCTATTCTAGTATTCTATACTACATGTTTTTTTTTATAGTTCTAGGAACTGTTGCAACCCTTTATTATTGCTTCCGCACCGCAGGAACTGAGAACTGTTTTAGTTCCTAGAACCCGTTCAGTGGATCCTTTTTAGCTCCTGCTTCAGAGTATAGGTACCATGGCGGTGCAAATGCAGACAGAGAAAAGAAAGGTTCAGAAAGCAGCTGGCTGTGCACTCTGCAGCACTTGGATGAAATGCTTGTGCCCTGAGAATAAAAGTGCTGCACTTGCGTCTTGTTGTCTCTATGACAACCGTCTCTTAAAAGACTGTTTTCACCCTTCACTATGAGCATCAAACGGAATATGCTTGCCCTCCTACTTTGTCTGAACACAGAGCAAGGAGCATGTTGGTACATGGCATGATCCGTAGGAGACAAAAATACAGGGAATATCATCTATTTTTAAAAGAGTGTCGGTGATTTCAACAGCTCCCTTCTGAAAGTTTTAAGATTTTCAACTCAAAGCGCTCAGAGTATAAAAAAGGTGGATCATTTGGACAAAAGACAACAGGTGCAAGGTTTTCTTCCTGACGGCTGCCTGCTGCTGCAAACACTCCTCATTGAAAACAGACGCTGGTGCTCAGAAAGTAACACTAGGTGGACTTCAGGGCCTAGGCTGAGATTTTGGAATTACAAATGCACCATGAGAGATGTATGAGTTACAAACTTCAGGCCTTATGATAGGAAGTCACTTCATGAACACATGTACAAATCATTGACCATTTACTGTAAATGTCTGTTTCTTATTCAGTCTGCATACAGAAACACGTAGCTATGTGCCTTCAAAAATGGAACTCCCCTTTCTCCCCAGCCTCCTCCTGCATTAGCATTTAGTCATTACTTATTTGGAATGTTTAGCACTGAATCATGTTCATTAAAAGTTGTTTATCTCAGACTCTGTAAGGGGGTGGTGTGAGCTCAGGGACAGCTCTTCACTCAGATATGTTCCAGAGCAGCACCTGAGCAGAGTCACACCGGCAAAATAAAATGCAAATTGCTGAAATAAACAGTTAAAAACCTTGACTTGAGTGTCCTGCCTGAAATATGAGCCTTTTATTTTTCACAAATAAAACCGGCCTTGTTGACTAATAGGGTTATGGCTGTGGATCACTGACAAGATAAGGGGGACGAATACTAGGAGACGGATTGACAAATAGTTTTATTGTTATTTTCACAGCATGTTAAGACAGGAAATGGAAAACTTGGACCAGCATTATATTTAACTGCAATGACTAGCTGAAAAAAAATGTCTACATCAACAGCATTTATTTGAAATGATACATTTGGTACATGTCAAGACATAGACTATGTCAGACTATAACGTACTGTGCTCTTTGTGTACTGAACACGTCTGGATAAAAAAAAACACCACTGAACTGTATACATCCTGGTATTTAAGGGAGACATTTGCATGACAATCAGTTGTTTCTAATATTTATTATGATGTCCCCTCAGGAGGTGATCAAAGTCCACTTGGCTCTTCTGAAAGCCATCGACGTGAACATGGTCAGCGGAGGAAGCGGCTTGGGGAAGATCTTCCTCGACTTCAAAGAAAGGTTAGTAACCTCAGCATTACGTTACAAACATGCACAAATTTTTTATTTTTTCGTTATAAATATAGATGGCCTGTTGCACACAATGTATGCACAACCTTTGCACCAGCATAACCTTTACAAATGAAATGCATGCACCTATAACTGCACTGCAGAGCAAACTGTATCTCTGTGTGTTGATGCTTGTAACAAATATTTAAATGAGCCATTATGCAGTCATTTTAAGGATTTGTCCCCTTTATATGCAATAAGAGTCATTGCAAAAAAAGCATCTTAAAAACAAACACCAGCGCTAACAGCCTCATGCATTTTTAGCACAGCCACACGCATTTTTTGTTAAAGTCCGGCAACAAAATAAACCCTCTAGCTCATCATTTTAACATCAACAAAACAGCTACATCAGAATGAGGGCTCAGCTCCGCACAGCATAAAGGTGCAGACTCATTGTGTCCATGTTCAAACACAAAACAAGGGCAAACTGCACAGAATAGGACTTTTTGGGCATGTTTGCACCTGAATATCATTAACACCATATGCTTTGTTATTTAGACCTTGAGATAGAGCAGATAAAGGGAGCAAAAGATGCACAGTTTTGGAGCTATAAGCAACAGCAATCCATTCTTGGTGACTCAGGCCCAGAGTGTTTAAATGTTGTTGTAGCTGTCAGGAAGCTGGATTTTCTTTTTCTGCTCCTCAAATTGTTAGGGTTGCATAAAGTTGAGCATCCACAGATTAGTGGGAGGATTTCTGGGATTAGTGTTAAAACAATAAGTCAATAAAAACAAAAGATGTTGGAGAAAAGCTGACGGAGCATACCACCAATTGTTCTCCATTCAACTAAAACATTCATAGTGAATCCATTTAAGACTGCTTTAGCTTGTCATCGTTGTCTTTGTTGTATATTTTTAGATGTGCAGTTCATCATCTTTAAACATGACTCAGAATCTCCAACACCCTTGATTTAATTTTTAAAATTCAATCCCATCCATTAAGTTGTGTCCTTATACATGAGGTGTATACATTTTGTTTTATGAAAAACATGCATTATTCCTTTCTTTGAATCATCCAGTCTCAAGTTCTACAATCTACAATTAATTTAGCTGACACTTTTATCCATTGCGCTGTACATCAGAAAGTTAGTACAACACAAGTGAGGATCTAGAAAAAAGGAAACAACATCACTAAGTGCAAACGAACAGCTTTAAGTCTGAACGGACACACAGGTGTTCAACATCAACAGCTGATCTTGAGAGATCTAATCAGCATCAAAACCAAACCTAAATATTGTGATTGTCATTATCAAATGAAAGCATCATTGTTATCATCAATATCAATATGTGCGTAGGTGTTCATGAAAAAAATTGGTCTTTAGCTTTTTCTTAAAGGTGCAGAGGGACTCTGCAGATCAAATGGAGTTTGGTAGTTTGTTCCACCACCGGGGTGGCGACAGAGGAGAAGAGTCTAGCTAAAGACTTAGGACCCTGTTGTGAAGGTTGGATCAGACACCTTTTATTGGCAAAGTAGAGGGGGCGGGAGGGATGATAGAGTTTAGGTAAGTAGGCGCCATTTTTGTCGCTGTTTTTTTAGCGAGTAGCAGAGTTTTTAATTTGATACAAGCAGTAACTGGGAGCCAGTGGAGCCAAGTTAAAAAAGATTTTTCAATTCCAATCCAGCTGCCTGTCTTATCTTTTATGTTTCACGAATAAAAAATCTCAAAAACACTTACATTTTATTTGGAACATTGAAAGAAACTCTTCCAGATTGTCACGTAGACTTTGATAGCGTTTGAGGAAAGGACTTGATTAGCAGGAGATTTATGTGTCGTTGGGAGATGAAAGCGCTGTGAGTCGGGGAAAGCTGAGGTTTATGGGCGAACAGGGATTTCTCAGATGGATCTCCATCTTGCCCTGCCGCTGTGCAATGTGTGGGTAATTTGCATGCCTGAGGGGAGTAGCGATTTGCCTCCCTGCTGTGTGCTGAGTACCGCTGCTTCATAGGTAATGGTGATGACGGTGATGATAGGTTCTGGCCCTGGACATGACTCCATACACAGCCATGGATAAGCCACTCTCCTCTAATGATGCAGCCATTACCAAGAGTGAGTCACACACTTCACAGCATGTACCTGTTCTTGCATATAGAAGTATGCATTATAATCCCCTGCACAGTGATCCTGATAGCACACACATTTTTTACCCCTCATCATCCTCCTGCTTCCAACCTGAACCAGGCAATCACATTCTATTTCTTTAGGCAACATCAGTTTGCATACAGAAATAGGCTCAGCACAGGGCCTCTTCCTGAAGCCTTGAGGGGGCCATATTACACAAAGTTAGTGTGACACTACTGGAGACTCTAATCCCACTAATAGATCCAGGCAGGCACATATTCTTGTCCTTTATCACACTCACGCAAGCACTATTTTTACTGTTTCCTTAATTTAGCTTCTCATGACTCCCTGATCTGATGGGGCAATGGTTGGAAATCCTTATTTGCACCCAATCCCAGATGAAATGAGTTCAGCCAGCGCAATGGTCAGTGTAAAGGACTGGGGGATGATGGTTATGATAAAACTCAGATTATGCACATGGAGGGACATAATTGGTAAAAATAAAGGAAGGGAGTAAGCAGAAACATCAGTTTAATTGGTCATAGTGACTTAAATCCTGGTTTTGGTTGTCTAAAACTATGCTAAAATAGTTTTTTGAATAATTCCCAATTTGAGATTATATCACTCCCTGTACATACAAGCACTGCACTTACACGTAAAGTAAATCAGTGCTTCGCTTGTTTTGCGGTTAACTACATTGTCTTTTCTAGGGTATTTTGCTTTTCATAATGAAGGACATGATGCCTCTTATTTTGTTCAGATTTTTTTTTTTTTTAACTATATTTGTGGACTAGATGTTGTCCACTAGGATTGAGTCTTTACAAGTCTACTGGGAGTCATGGATCCAAGAATAATTCTGGGTATTTTACATGTAATGTTCAAATAGTATAGTCATGTATACCTTCTTAACTGATGTGATAAATAAGCCTAAAGATAATTAATAAAAAGAGTTCAATAGTACATTAATCCGGGCCTCATAACTGTCTTTATAGACAAAAACACCAAGACTGAAAGTGCAGCTAGCTGTGATGTTATTAAAATGAGGCTGGCTGTTGAGGTTGGACTCAATTAGCAGTGAACAGAATTCTTACTGGAAATGTTGTTATTAAAGTCATAGGTCTTGGGCAGTGTTGTGCAAGTTCACACTTAATAGAGCTAGCTTAAAGTTCAGTTTTACATTTTGAACTGAGAGCACAGTACAGAAAATGAACTTACTCACGTTCATTTATTCTTTCTTTTGTGGCTGCACTGAGCTCCTCTTATTAATAAATCATCCTTACTTCCCGTTGTCTAGTTGTCATTTAAGGAAATGAACTGTATACTGTTACAACTTATTGGTTTAATAAATATTGCAAAGATGAATTCTGTACAGGAAAAGATGAAGAGGCATGTTCTCATTAATAATTATAATGAATACACAATGTGTATGATGGACACTTTACATAGAAACCTCTACCATCAGTGTGTGAATGTGTAGGTGTGACCTGCGGTGAAAAAGCACTTTGAGTAGTCTGAAGACTAGAAAAGCGCTAAACAAGCTCATTTACCATTTACCTGTGACAGGATATTGTGTTGAAAAATGATTGTAAAACCCAAAATATTGTGACCCAATAAACTGAAATATGATTTAAAAGAATAAACATCAATGTTATAAAAGTACTTAATAGGGACCCAAACCTTGTTGTTTTCTAATGGATTCTGACCTTTTATTTCTGACAGAAACATCTCACATTTACCTTCTATTCATAAACAAATCTTCTGATGACACACCGTTCATATTTACCATCAGTGACATTCCCCAGAATGCAATGCTGGGTTATTTTAAGAGAGCAGTTCATTAGATTTGCAGATTCCGTGCGTCACAGGCTCTTGCCTCTCTTCATGTGATTGACATGTATACCTGCCTCATTATGAGCCCCTCTTGTCCGTCGCGATAAGCTACAGTGACCGGTGGATTTGGACAACAGGCATGTTGGTGATTATTCTGAGGACTTGACTTGGAATAATTAATACGGTTATCTATGCGTGTAAGTCCCTGTGACCTTTACAACAATGTGCTTGTACCTTTTTTTTTCTCACGTCGGTCCACGAGATGAAAAGGTTTATTTTGTTTTTGTTCTATTTTTCATTGAAGTGAATGCCATGGTGAAAATGTCATTGGTTTATCTCAAACACTTCTCAACAGCCAGAGCCGACCTGAATAGAAAAGTGGGCTCACAGGAAGCTTTAAACTAAAAGGGCATCTAAGTGCCCTCTTGTTGATGTCCTTATTTCCAACATTCCCCAACTCATTTCCGGAGTCATCTGGCTCACATTGCCTAATCATGGCCGCACTATGAGCCTCTTTATTGGAGGTCTTTGCTCTATGTTCTCCTCCATTTGCTGTGTGCTGAATGTGTTGAATGGAGGTGAGGGGGGTCCCAATGCCATGTGTCACAGAATATTAGCTGGCTCCACAGCCTGTCAGTTCTGGTTTGCTCGGAGAATTTCCCAGTCGTTTGACTCGGCTTGCAGGGCTGCACGAGGGGGGTGGGGGTGAAGGCCCAGGGCGCGGTAAGTCAAAATTGCAATTTCTGTAAAATAACATGCACAACAGCATCCTCATTATGAAAGAGGCCAGCACAGCAGGGCCATATCAACAACACTGAAAATAATGTAGACAGCAAGTTTTGACTGCACCAGCTGAACTCTCTTAGCCCAAAAGGGAAACTGTCTCAAACAGCAGCTGTTCAGAGGCTGTACTGCTTCTGTTTTTCTTTTATACTAATGCCTGTTTCCACTCCAATGGTGGTCTGCTTTTAATTATAGCTTGCACAATATAACAATTAGCTTTACTAGAAGAAGTAAATGTCAGCTTTTGTTGGCCGGGGGGGAATCAAAGATCAGCAAAGGG